ATTTTCCGTTACTTCCCAATTAGCCAGAAAGAAGCGATTCATCCAAGCCTGATTGGATGATCAGGGCCTATCGTCATTCAGCCACTACTTGGGCTCTCTCTACACAAAAACCTAAAGCATTCATTTTATGCGGTTTGGAATTAACTAAAATTGCATACGGTCACAAGTTCCCTAAACGGATTATCGAAGAACGACATGGTATTGCCAATGTCGAGTGTTCGCATGAAAGCCTGCAAATCAATTTCGGCAGGGTTATATGCATCGTCTTTTTAGAATAAACGTATGATAATTATAACAAGCCTTAGAATGCTTATGGAAATGTACTGATATCTAAATTTTTATCAGGGTGAATTTGTGCCGGGATCCCGTTGGATCATCTTTTTCTGGTTGTGAAGGCTTGAAGGTACGCGAAAAACAAATGTAAAATTGGAGTGTTGTCGATAATGTCTACCAGAGAACGATCATTAAATAAAGCAGTTAGTGGTCACTGAGACTAAAGCGAAAGAATATCTATCAACGGATCAAGAAGTGGTCGACTTTACCGCACAAAAGACGGGCTCGGACACATACGGACGCATGCAACTACATCCTACAAATGAACGCAATTCCTCAGTGGCAAAAATATGAAGTAGCTGATAAGCTACCAGAAGGCCAATTCACTTAGCTTATTGAGCAACTAAATTAAAGCATAATTATTAAAATGGGTCGCGAACGTACATGGCGGCGCACCGAAATTAAAGCAACAAGCAAACAGATATGATTGTACTATAAACCTGAGTGTAGACATTTAAGATGTGCACACCAGGTATATCAACCGATTCCGTATGTCAACCAGCACGCCACTATAAACTGCAGACGTTTGAAATTAATTAATTATTGGTTTTCTACTAAATCAGGGATGCTTCGGCAAACATGACGGCGTTTTCGTCAAGTGGCGCCTACAGATGCTTATTCGTCACGGAAACTGTTATATCAATATTTGATATCACTTCTTCTTAGCATAGAGTTCTGATGCTTTTCGCTCTACCTTTGTAGGGAGTGCCTGACCGCTTTCGTAATATAGGTTTTCACACAAAGAACATACAAAAAGATACATGCAGTATAAAGACAAGTAAAAAAGTTCACTAATATGTAGATAGTACAAAGAACATGCTCCGGAAATGAACATTTATGAGATTCATGACAAAAAGCTGATATCAAGTGAAACGTTGCTATATCATTTGGAGCAACGATAAACGCACGATCACGCAAGGGATCATGAACAAGTAACGCTCATGGAATCAATTAAGTGAAAGCAAAAGAAAGTAGTAACAGTGTAATTCGGATATATAAGAATAGCTATTCTCACGACCTAGGTCTGCATGTGATCAGAAATAAAGCGATTATCAAGAAAGGCTCAAAAAGAGCCCATATAAGTCGAATACTTTTGACCACCAAAAGAGGGAAAGCATCCAGTTTATTTGGTTGAAGGAGTCTGGGCAATACTTTTGTTAGTCTGGCAATATGATGAGTACCGTCAGCCAAACCTGAAGGTTATTATCGAAAAGGGGCTACCCCTAATGGCTTCTTGATTATAATACGGCTTTTGGATCTATTATTATTTATTTACTGCCCTCTCCATATTTAATATATATTCAAATATGTGCTCTTTTTTACTTGCTTGTAAACACTGTTGGCGTCTTTTTGAACAGACTATGTCTCTTGCTGTGCAGGTTTCCGCCTTAAAAGTTTTACCAATTATTTAATATCTGCTGGACTGGCAGGAACTTAGCGACCTTGAGAGTTTTACTACGCTGAAAATCAGGTGAGAGAGTGAATAGAGTGGGGTCGCGCATTGTAAGTGATAGCCCGCGTGACGACAGGTTATTGTTGTGTACCGTATCTTATAGTTTATTTTTGTTGTGATTTATGTGATTTTTGCCTTCATGTTTCTCAGCTAAACTTGCGCTACTAGGCCTATTGATGGTGTCCCCTAGTGCAGGACCTCAGACCCCAGTTAAAACGTATACTTTCCTCCCTTTTTTGTGTATCGCTTGATCGGTTTGCATTAACCTCGATGATAACAGTTTTCAATCATGGTGATCTTGTTTGGAGTCGGTGTCTGCGGTCATTTTATCATGATCTATATTTGCCTTTCATCGGCAAACTAAGTCTGTGCTCACTTTCGATAACTGCATTTTTCTGGTATCGTTATTGAACACGTAATGGGTCGTACTTGGTACAGCTGTGATCCTGGCCAAAATTGCAATCGCCCCACAGTTAGTATCGGCAATTTTTGTAATTAGCTTACAACAAGCCCAAAAATTCAGATGTCAGC